ACTTCGTGCTCTAATATTCCGGGCTGTGTCAAAACGAAAGTCACAAGTCAGGTGACTGGTGCAACGGTCGCACTGAGGGACAAACGAGTGAGAACCCTCTCGAATCTGGCTGTTAGCAGGGTCAGGGGCCGCGGTAGACTTGAAACTCGCAAGCTTCGTGGTCGCCACTGGTCGACCTCCTGACCTCTATCCAGAAGAACAGCGATGTCCATCAAAAGCAGAGCTTTCACCTCACGAGAGTGGATCTGTTTGCGTCCCGAAGTTCACCAAGAGCTCCACTTGCTCTAGCGCGTGCTTCTCTATGGTTTTACTTGCTGTTCGCGAGGTCGTGCCACTCAATGCAGCACTTGTAAAGGCTCTAAAATCACTCTGCACAATCCACCACGCGAGCTGCTCGATGTCTGCAAAGACGGAGGCTCCAGTTGCGACGCGGGAGGATGAAGTTCGATGGTGCAGAATCGGCTTGGACGCCTGCAGTGCATGCAGCAACAGGAACAGGTCTCTCCAGTCTGCCTTGAGGTCCAGTACGCCACACTCTGGATCGTCGAACAGACTGCTCGCATCCTTCATGGCAACATCGTCGTGTCCTTCTGTCATCTGGCAGGATCGAATGGAGTCGCACACAAGCGAAACAATGCGTCGCGACTGGCTGAAGCTCTAGAGACAACACGACAACGGAGATAATTACGATACTACACTGTCACCATCGTTTTTAAGAGAGAAGAAGAAGACACGACGGTACCATCTGCAAATTAAACTCTGCCTCTTGCCGTAAATGCACCGGAAGCTGACGTAGCAGATAACGAGCAATACCAATCCACTTGTGGTCACCCGTGACGTTAGCCACCAACACACACTCGCGAATCACCGGGTTCATCGTCTCGCTCGCCATCTCAGGCGACGTCGTCACCATTCGCTCCACATTCTTCTACAGAAAAAAACACCCCTTATTAAGCACCACAACTTGCCTTTCTTTCAGTAAAACTTTTTTTCTTTCCCTCTCCGCCCCCCGCGAATTGGTGGGCCAAATCTCCCTTTCGACATCAGCGCACTGTCCTCCACCAGCGCGTCCAGTAGACTGGGCACCGTCTGGCAGCTCCACGGCAGCTCCAGCAGCTTGGCCAGGCTCTCACTGGGCCTGGTCTCGTCCTTCAGCTCTCCACTCATCCCTAGAAAATAAGGCACCAGACCAAGCAGCTGTGGCAGCACCTTGCCATTACTGGGCTTGGCGTCGGTCACCACTTCCTCTAAGAAGCTGAAGACAATTTCCAGCACCACGTGGATCTCGTCCAGCAGCTTCTTCCTCTTGACTGAGTGCTGCAACTTCTTCTTCTTCTTCTTCTGAAGCTCCTGGAGCTCGTCCAGCGCACTGGAGTAGCCCAGATTGATCTCGGTGAGCAGCTGCATGCTCTCCAGCTCGCTGGGACTGCCTCGACGCAATACCTGGATGACTCTGGAGGCAGCGCGCAGTCGTGTGGCTTCACATTGCACCAGCAGATGTACTAAAGGCAACCAATCGGTCG